CATTACAGATTGCACGTATTTGGATTAGAACGGATCGATATAACGTATCATGTATACAGGGTGTTCTCTTTGGATCGTAATTGGCTGTTTTCACTTGGTAAATAATATTTTGTAATATGAATTAATTTATACAAGTACTAATAACTAAAGTATTTCGAAGATGCCAAAGCAATTAAATATTATGCAAAAATATCTGAATGTTACAATTACATTATACAATTACAATTTACCACCTATTTACATTTACCATTACCATACAAACTCGAGTAATTCCATACTAATAGTTTGATACGTAAACAAAAAATTGATCACCTTAGATAACTTCTTCAAGCGTTTAATCGAAATACGAGGGTAAAATATTTTGGATATAGTAGAATATCGGCCAAATGGAGAAAGATTTCTTCTTTTTATTTCTTTTTCTTAAACAAAGAGAAAAGAATAGAAGAGAATATACATTTAAATAAATCGATAGGAAGAATAAAGAGAAAAAGAAAAAAATGAGAATAAATAAAGGGGTAAGGGAAATAGGTCAGCTCGTGTCGAAGAAGGCTGCGAAGGGCCGACCTATTTTATAAATGGACTACGCGGTCATTCTCGACGGCATTGCGTTGTTGCCTTGACGGCGTTTCAATCGTGATTTACTTTTCAAAGCGAAGATACTCGAGTATTTTTTTTTTTCTTCTATCGGTTCATCGTACCATTGTGTGTGGACGACTATTCCACGGGATTATTTCCTGCTATTTGTTTCGTTTCTCTATTATTTCTTCTTTTCCCTTAGCTTTCTTTCCTTTATTCTTTCTCTCTCTGGCTATCTCTTTTTTTTTCTTCCTTTCGATGAAAGGTATCGTTATTAAAGCGTCATTATACCAATAGCTTACGTATTTTTAAATTATTCATTGTCTTTTCTCCAAAACGGCACACACGAACAATCACAAACACCTATTTACTTTATTTTTCATTTTTTTTATTTATCGATCTCCCTATATCTTTCTTTTAATTCTTATGTAGACATTTTATAGGATATGTATCCTTATTATCATCCCTTTCAATAATATTAGAAGTATCTAAAGGTTCTTCGGATAAAAAAATACGCATATGTTCCTGAGTTTTTCATTCCGTTTATCGAGAGCACACAGGGTTTACATTTTGCTCTTGTCGCAAACATATCATTATTCTGGTTATTCAAGGTAGCGAAGAAAAGCATACTTTATGTGATTGTAATGTGTAGAAAGATTTTTGAAAAAAAAGCATTAAAAATATTGAAGTATACATTGTTATTAAATTCGTGAAATTTTTTTTCTTGTGCTTTTTAATTTTGTCGTAACCTAAACTTACTTCGTTTCCTTTTGTTTTTTCTTTCAACCCGAATAGAAAGAAGTAAAAGTACTAAAAGGTACCATAATACCCTTTATTATTTTTATATAATCTTTTCTTCCATTCTCTAACATTTTTTCTCTCTTTTTCTGTTTTTTTTTTTTTTTCCGATAATCACTTATCTTTTTGTAGGACCTCAGTAAATTGTTCCCTCGGAAATTTTTTATAGTCTTCTCTACTTACATAATACATTTATGGTAAAGATTATTTTTGTATTATGTCTACACTTCTAAAATAATTTCTTTTTATTATTCAAGTCTGACCGTACTTTGACTGTAACTACTTAAACATCGTTTTCTCTCCTAACAGGCCGAGTATTTGTTCAAAGAAAATCCTGAAGGAAAAATGTTTCAACCTGATTACACCGAAACGATGAGCTTGATCTTAGATGCTATAAATCAATTAGCAGATGATATATTTCCAAAAGAAAAGGAACTTCATGATGTTACTACAAGAATTCTGAAGGCTGCGTCCGATGCAAGTGTTTTACCAACATCGTCCTTGGCCGGAAAAAGGTACGACTCCCACAACATATGCGCAATCGTGACACCCAAGAGTAGCAAGGAGTCTTCCTCTATTTACGAAAGTGAATCCGGGAAAGAAGAAGACTTTGAATTTTATACAGACAGCCAAGATGGTGAAACTGACTTGCAGTATTTCAAATAAATGCGACAAATGATATTTTTTCTTTTATCAATGTTAACGCATCATCTTTCTCGTCCATATTGTCGATCGAATTTAACTGAATAATGAACGATTCCCTGTACCACATCCGCTCGATCAACGTTCCCCAAAATTCCTGAATAATTCATTATAAATGTAAGAATGTTAAGCTGTAGGAGATATGCATTCTGTTGGTATACATTCCATGGTATTCCATTTCACAACTTTTTTTATTCTATTTCTTTATATCTATATCGTGTATCAATAGATAATTTTTCTTTATATTTTTGAATAAAGTGTTTCATAAAACAAAAAATATATAATCCAAATTTAACCAACACATTGCATTAATCGATTCAACGCAAGAACGTGATCCATTCTCTGTTAATAGATTATTGAAACTTTGATAAATACAACCTATTTGTTGAATGGTCTAATTCCTTCTGTATCCTCAAATCATCATCGCTTAACGCTATCGAATATCTGAACAGTTTACATGTGTATCGATTGCTCACTGATTATAGAATTCCTCTAATCTTTTATTAGACAACATAATACTGTATTGCTTTAGTATAATTTATATGTATAGTTGTCTAGTCTGATATTTCATTATATTTCTCAGTGATTATGTCAAATCATACGGAATTTCAATTCAAATGAAATTTCACTACTTCCAACAGACCAATATTCACGGTAATATGAATTTCTATTATAAAGCAAGTCAAAAATCATCATAATCGGAATCAATAAATAGGAGTAAGTGATTTATATAGAAATTGGATATCTATGAAAATGATAAATAGTCGTTACAAAAGAACTTTGTCATTTTTTGTTTATCGTCATTACTTTTACAGAAAAATTTGTTCTACTATTCTTTCAAGAGCTGAGGATTGTTTATCAGCATTTTTTATGCGACCAAAATTTATCATCCAGGAAAATGTATTACTAGCTTCGCGATGTCCTTCCGAAGTTTTCTTATACTAAAGATATATAACAGCAAGTTCAATGCTACGTTGAGTTTATTCTTCGAGATATAACTTTTCTATAATAAATTTAAAAGGTATATAGAGATCCGGGATCTTATAAAATGACTTTTCTCTTTCAAACTATTCACTCTTGAGACTTAAAGTGGAATTATTTATTCCGATAACACGATGATCATCGATTATAGTTTATGGTAATAATTAAAGAAATATCCTGTCAACGCGATTATAATAAATAATTCTGTTCACTTTTAATTTAATTACATGATCAATTGACGTCATTGCAATATCGTTTCTCACGATAAAATTTTACAGTATATAATATCTTACAAAATTTCAAACTGTTAAATAAATAACGAATCTAATTATATTCGAAGAAAGATCTAGATCGTTTATTTATAACGATTTTATTAATAAGTAGTGCACAAAGAGCATATGCTTCAAATTTGTCGTCCCGAGCGTAGCATAAGTTCTGCTGTCGAACTTCCGATACTCGAGGCCAAGGACGAGGATTCCACATTGTTCTGCGTCTTTAATATGAAGTTAGCGTGCACTATTTTCCGTAAAGTCTTATAAATTCTCCTTCGCTTTTAATATCCTCGACCTTCTAGTTTTTTTTTCCCCGTCATTCATCATTTTATAAAATTAATCAGAAAGGAGTATCTTAATTACGCAACATGTAGTTCGAAAAATATTATACTAATAAAATTTCATAAACAATATTTCGAAACGTACAGAATAAGTTATTATTCTAACAATTAACATCCGTTCGTGTTACTTATTATGCAAGTAAATTTGAATAAAAAACTTCCCATTAAGAAATAATGAAAAATCTTATATTTTATTACTATTAAAAGTTCGCTCAAAGATAATCACCCATCGCTTTAATTTTTCTAATTAAACACTTCTAACTGGGACGTCAAAACGAATCGTTCTTTCAAGGGCGTAATCAATAAATACCCACGTACCGCCACCCCATGGCTCGTAACCGCAAGCGTATTCGACGTACCAACTAAAACGATCATTTCGATTTAAGTACTCTTGACCCTGAAAATAAAGCTTGTCTGTAATCTTCTAATTGCTTACGCTCGAGCTCTTAGTATAATCCTTTCGGAAGGACTTCGACGTTCGTTTATCGATTTTCTGATGCTCTGATCGAAACGGTTTTAAAGCTATGAATAATAAAATGAAATCTTAGAAGATTTTGAAACATCTTATCCTCCAATAGATAATAATATAATTATCATAGGTATTGAGTCCTTGAAATTAAATAATTAATGATGTTTCAATATAATAGGACCTTCTCATCCATGGTTTTTGTTAGATTTCGTGTTACGGTAATTCGATTAATTTCGAATAAGATGTATATGTACTTTGTGTGCATGATAGTCGTCGAAATGAAAACAATCTTGACACATTAGTTCCCCCATTATGATAAACGAGCGTGTTAACGAGCAATGAAAATCGTTTAACGTTTGTTCTTATCGTGTTAAACAAAGAGAAGTGTTTGTTAAGCGATCTTAATCATATTTCTATGAATTTATATAATATACGTGACGAAAATAAATTATTTGACAAGTATTAAAAAAAAAAAAAAAAAAAAAAAAAANAGCGATCTTAATCATATTTCTATGAATTTATATAATATACGTGACGAAAATAAATTATTTGACAAGTATTAAAAAAAAAAAAAAAAAAAGAAAGAAAAGAAAAAACAAGACAATAATCACGTGCATGAAAGTAAAGTAAGACTCGGGTGATCGTCTTTCGCGCACCACTGCTATATCTGTATCTCCAAACACCTGTTAGCTGATCAGGAATTCGCGCGCCGAATAGAATCGTGGTTAAAGCACAGCTATTAAAAGATAATTATCATCGTTGTTGCCAATTCAAAAATAAGGTAGTCGTTCATTGAAATATTTCAAACTGTATCTATAGATATTAAGAAAGGATATATAAAAAAAAAAAATAATAACTCACCGGGATGTCCTTGCAAAGAATAATTGGCTTCTTCACTAGGTACGACTGTCTCTTCTAGTATACTCTCCGATGCCGTTTTGATGATTCCCATTTCTCACCAGAAAAATAGGAAAAATTCTAACGACGTGAGATACTTTAATGAATAATACTCGAAGGTAAATGAACAAAAAAATAACTTATTATTATTATTATTATTAACAATATTAATCTCTTTGAGAAAGATAGATCGAAATTTAGTTTTCCACTTTCTCGGGCTCGCTTTCTTTCGATCGTGCCGCACTGTCTGGCTTTGACGGAATGCTCGGCGCCGTTTTGCCCATCTATATTCTGTCTGCGTTTGCGCCTGCGTCTACATCCTCAAACTCCGACATAGTCGTAACAGCACGAGGAGAGCAAGGCAAACCCCTAGGCCAGGGTGAACAGGCTAGTATGTAGACTAACGACGATACTGGTACTGGTACTGGTGATGGTGCTGTTGCTGCTGGTGCTGTTGCTGCCGCTGCTTTAGCCACTAATACTTTTAGTAGTCGCAAGTAGTAGTAGTAGTAGTAGTAGTAGTAGTGATGCTAGTGGAGAATATTTGTGTCTGTGGACTGGCTTTACCCTCTCCTTTTTCTCTCCCACTTATTCTCTCCTTGCTCACCAGACATACCTACTGTATACCTCTTCCATCCTTCTCTTCCTAAAGTGCTGTCTATATGCGTGTCTAGCTTGCGTTTCTGTGTGAGTACGCTGCTATCGTCGTCGCTGCTGATGCTGCCGCTGTAGCTGCTTGGGCGGGGTAGGATAAGTATAGCAAGGGGCAATGTCGACCAACCGGGTCTCGGTGAAGGTCTCAGCTGCTTACTAGTGCCTGATAATAATATTACACTCTCTTCTCTCTCTTTCTCTCTTTCTCTCTCTCTCTCTCTATATATATATATATTTATTTATCCGTTTTTTTGTTCTACTTCCTAACTTTTAATATAAAAAACTGCACATTGATAAATTTATTCCGATTACTCTATATTAATTAACATATAATACAAAATTATAATCTCATTTTTACTAAAGTATGTCCTATATGTATATTGAAAAATCTATTATAAATTTTAATTTTTTTTTCCAATTTAATTTTAATTTATTTCAGTGGTAAATAATATATATATATTAGAAAATTTAAGAAAATTACAAAAAGCAGAATATATTTTCTATAATTAGCTCTCTGATCTTATTTTCTTGTTTTTATCAACGAGCTTCCTGCTACATTGTAGATATTCGTGTGGAAAACTGATTAGACTGAAATAGTTTTAAGGAACCAGAACGTATTTACTTCTAATTTATAATATAATTGTACTTTAGTTTTGTTGTTGTTATATATTCACGTAACCCTAATGCCATTTTTTTGGCTTCTTATTAGGATCGAAATAAGATGTAATAAAAATATAAGGATATTTTTCATCTGTTTTGAACGTTCTTATCAATTAAAATATCGTTCTCGTTTTTACGAAATCAAACTAACACAAAAAGAAAATATTTACTTAACCATTAAAGAGAAAACCTGCATTTCAAGTAAAAATGTTTGCAATAGCATGGAGAAAGAAGATAAGGAAATTTGCTTGCTCTAAGTTTCTTTATCGTTGCTTAGTACTTATGCATTTAAGGGTCAAGGCATATCGTTTAAGGTTACTCTATTTTTGTCTTAAATAATTATTAAACACCTGTGAAAATATGCTTTAAAAATGTACTTTTTTTTACTAAAGAATAAAGGATCAGATATAAAATTATAAAGAAAATCTGTCGGTCTGATCAATTCGCTGCATAACTATCTAAGGTAAAAATCTTTTCGTAAAAAATTTCTATTTAATCTGTCGTCTTTTAGAGAATCGGTTTTTCCTTCATAATACTTTCAAAAACAACTGTTTTAAATTAATTGCGTTGCCCTCGGATATCTATTACCTTATATTATTATAATTGGCATGCGTGAACTCTGTATGAAATAATTCTATAAAAAAATTTAACGATATCGATGAAAATCAGTCAATGTAACTATGGATACGGACTAAATATGGCATGAAGAAGGGAGAAATAATCATAAAAAAAAAAAAAGGAATGGATTCGAACGCGTTAAAGTTTCGACGATTTTCACTTCCGGTCAATATCGATTCGTTGCTGGAGTAAAAGTCACGTGGCATCCTCCGTCAGAGCCGGCGCGATACTTGTTGCACGCGACATTCTCACACGAAGCTGAGAGTTCTGCTATTTTAGTGTAACGATCCCTATCGTGCCTTGTACTAAACGACTTTATTTCGTATACAATGCAGGATCTTATCATTGTATTTTTTCTCTCTCTCTCTCTCTCTCTCTCTTTCTCTCTCTCTCTCTCTCTCTCTTTCTTTTTCTCTTACGTTTTACTCACTTTTTCACTCATTTTCTCCTTTTTTTCTTTTTTTGTAGAAGATCTTCGTCGATAATAAAACGATAAACACACTCCCAGGCTACAAGACGAGGGTGCAAAATTCAAGGACTCCATCGACCCGAGGTTCACTCAAGGTCGATGCTTCTCCTTCGACCTATAGATTAGCCACGCTCTACCCACGTCTTTCCGAGAAAAGAAAATTCTTTCTTTACTACTCTTTCTCTTTTGCAATTTCTATTTTCGGTCTTGTTATTCAAATATATATATTTAGCGAAATATTTAACTTAAATAGAGATGACGTTTATCAGATATTATAATTCGTCTATTTTGTCGATAAGTAAATATATACATGTCATGTGTATACGCATTGATAGATTTGATTTAATAACAACCATAAATCGGAAGTTTCAAACTTCAAATTTAAACAGTCATCCTGTCGCACAAATACGCATCTTGACAACGCATGCACCTGGATATCCGAGTTTTCTAGCTGCTCTACCACTTTCATGGTCTGCACAGTGGCCGTGCGCATTGCCGATCGATCCAAGTTCATAATATGTAAATACGGGGCTCCCTTGGGAACTTTTTTCCGCCTTGGAATATCGGTAACATAACCTGGAATAGAGTTCCGGGGACACAGCGCGTATCTCGACACATGCGCGATTGTAACTGATACCTGCTTAAAACCATTGTAATTACAAAAATAAATTTATTAAATTTGTGTTACAATTTTTTTTTATTGTATTTATATTGAATAAATCTGATTATCGTTAATGCCGATTGTTGTAACATTAATTTAAGAGAAGAAAAAACGTCAAAGTTTTTTTTTAGAATCATCTTTTTCGATCTTCAATAAAATGATTATGAGAAACGGATCGAATAAATATGATCGATGCAAATTGCAAAGGAGAGCGAGAATAAATTAATCAGTAATCAGGTATCGAGTTAATGAATTCAGATAACTGCCTTATATCGATTTTCAAACTTTAGTTCGACAAAGAGTAAACATAGAATTGATGTCTACGTCAAATAAGGTGAAATGTTTTAAAATGCTTAACAAGAAATTCTACTTTAGATCGATTAAGGTGATAACAATGAAAGTTAAATTTCGAGACGGTTCATGTGTGAACATCAAATATCAATCAATATTTGCTCTGTACTCTCAAAATGTTATTCGTTTTTTTTAGATTATGTCTTACACTTTCAGAAGAAAAGCTTTATAAGAAAAGACAACTTCCCCGAAGATGAGATTGTTGGGAACGAGCCGTTGTTGAAATTTGTATCAAATAATAAACTCGATAAAAAATAAGAAAAACTTTAACGAAATTTTATTTTTATTTAAATTAACATTAATGCATGCGAAAAATTATGTTCAATATTTATCTACAATTTAATTTATCTATATTCTTGAATAATTTCATCTTCCGTGTTTCTAAATGTATGATTAATGGGAAGAAAGGATGGCTAGAAAAAGTGACTACTTCAAAGAAGGCCGCTGTAATGAATAAAAAAAGATTTGCATGTGCGTGGAATACCGGCTGGTTCGATATAATTGAGATAGCCAGGTCGCAGACTGTCAAGGTTACAGGAGCTGAGGCTTCTGACGGCATAGGAGCAGCACGTTATCGATTTAACTTGTTGCATACGTAAACAAAGCTTTCTTCATCAATGCGTCGCATGACCACGTATCTATGGCATAAATACACCAAGAAAGAGAGAGAGAGAGAGAGAGAGAGAGAAGGATGAGGACGAGACAGAAGACTGACAGGTGGTGGATGTTATTATCATAATTAAAATCTCACGTAGGATCGATTACCCTCGAGATTCGAAGTGACGTGTACACATCATGCTCAAATGAACGATTATTTGTGAAAACAATTTTCCTAATTACGATAGCTAGCACGATCTATTGATCGATCTTTAATGATCGTTAAACGATTATCGATAGTTCCCTTTAAAAGAACTTCTTTATAATCTTTGACCTATTTAATTTAATCATTTAAACTACAAAGAAACAAGAATACTTTCGTTATAGTTCTACTCGAGTGAAGATAGTATTAAAAGCGGTGAGACGTGAAAATTTTGTTCCGAATGATCGAGATAAGCAATGGAACGCAGACATTTTTTTCCAATGGGAGCATGAGAAAGAAATTTTGTGATTGAATAAAGGTTACGTTTGTACCATTAAGAATATTGGAAATTGAAATGTGATAAAAGTTATTATGTAATGTCAAAAAGAGGAAAATGTAATTAAGTAAATGAATAAAATTTCATAACTCTTCATGAATTTGTAATTAATAATAAACTATTTCTTAAAACCCGTGCTTAATCCTAATTCTTATAGTTATCTATTCGTTAAAAAGTATAACAATGATAATAATCGTAATCGTTTGGTTTCATACTTACGATCGAAATCGCCCATGAGAGACAAAACGTATGGCTACGAATATTCCACTCGACACTTAAGTTATGCTCTACTTACCTTTACACCCTTGAGGATTCGTTAGAGAAGAACTAATTCAAATTAATTTCACTGAATAGCAGACTCCGCGTGATTCTCTCTTATGGATAATTCACATCGTGTATGCCATTGATTTTGTCATCTCTTCGTAAATTGAAGATAACGAGAATTAACTTGCAATCATTTAGCGTAGATTAATACATTAATTAAATTAGGGTTTAAAGGTATCGATGAGAATCTATAATATGTTCGAAAAAGAATTCTTTCTGTGACAATAGGCTTAGAAATATTATTTTGATATTAGAATAAAAGTAATGACTTTTTATTTATTCGAAAATATAAATAAAATATCTATAATCGGCGATGCCATGTTGATACATACCCCCTTTCACGTGACATTCAAAATTCCAGCAAGTCTCTATTTATACGATCAAGTAGAAAGGATCGATATCGGGTGTGTGTTTTTGTGTATGTATGTGTGTGGCAAATTACAAAAATTTAGATAATATTTGTTGACCGATATGTTACAAATCGCGAGTGTTGCACGAAAGACTGTTAATCGGCGTAATATATATATCTCTCTCTCTCTTTCTCTTTTACTCATTTTTTAATTTTGTTTTCTCTCAGCTCAATACCTTTAACTCTAAATCTACCGAAATTTTATCATTCGTTGAAATTTTCTATATAAACTATATAAATTGGTCATTTTGACCGGTTATGGTAGATTTAGTGTCAAATTAATCATCGAAATATATATTTTTTTCTTAGCACCACGAGATAAGAGAAAGGAAAGATAGTCGGAGAGTTGATTGTTAATATGTTGCTTGATAAAGCGTCGAACGTTGACGATGTGCCAAAAGGGATAAATCCCTTTTACTTCTTCCTCTTTCTTCTCCTTTTCTCTCAACAATGTTGGCAGGGAACCAGACCGGTCTCGTCACAGTTCATACACTTCAAGGCAACGAATTCAACGGTGAAGTCGTTGCGCAGAACGGATCTCTTGCTGCCGTTGCAAACGGGACAGACCAGCAGTCGATAATTTCCGCAAAACAGGCACGAAGGACACGCGCCGTCGCTCTGTAACGCAAGAAAATTGGTTTGGAGATGATTATTGCTTTACACAAAAATAAAACAAAGAAAAAAAGCGAAGCTCTCGATGCGTGACCCCGTACACGTGAAATTCAAGCTGGTTTGGCGATCGAGGAGGTTGCAAAAAGGATTTTTTTCTTTAAATCGTACGAGTGGACGGTATCAAGGACGAAAAGTAATCGTTTGATTAATAAACCAAAAGGAAAAAGAAGTATTGCGATAAAGTGAGTATGGATGAAATTACAAATGAAAATAAACGAAAAAGATCAACCTTTTTACACGTACACTTGGTATGTACATTCTTTTGGTATTTATGATGTTCTACTTTTTAAGTTAATTAAATTCAAAAAGAAAATTAATAAAAACAAATACGAGATTTTTAAAAAATCTAAAAAATATACACAAAAGTTATAGAGTTACAATGAATATTTTATATCTTACAATTAGTATATTCGCAAATTTAAGTTTTTGTTTGTCATATCAATATCATTTCATACATAATGAGAATATTTGTGATCTAATAATTTTAAGCTTTTAATATTAAAAAAAAAAATAAAATTAGAAGTTGGAAAAAAATTTGCATTGAAACTGTTATACATAGATGTGAATAACCTTTGCGTGCTACAAAGTGAATTTTCTTTGTGTACGATACCAAAATCTACGAATGCAAGTCTATAAAATGAAAGAAGTGTAGAGGGGAAGAAAAGTAGATGGTAGGGTGGAGGATGGGGATAGATAGCCGACGGATAAAAGTGAAAGGACCGGTACAACCTTGCGTTCGTTGGAATGGCTACGTTCTCTGTCTTTATTTCTTCTCTATATGATTGTGTTTGTATACGTGAATATGTGGGTGTAGCTGGACATGTTTTGCTGCACAGGTTTCTTTACGATCCAGTTATACCTGCTTCGAATAGTTCCTTCATATAAGAAGGTTTATAAACATCCTAAGCGAATTAACATTATTCCACGTAGCTTGAATAGTTTCGTTCAATCGTGATAAGAAATGTTACAAAACGTTCTTATACATTTTGTTAATATTAAATATGAATATTTATAAAAAAAAACTAATATATTAAATTTTATCTTAGTATCTTTGGATGAATTATTTTTATCTTTCCTATGAAAATCGATAACGATTGAAAGCAAATGGAATAGCAGGGGTATAATAGATCTAATAATACTCTTATATTATCACCATCTTTTGCAAGAGATGTTTGACCAACACATGTTTGCGGTCAAAGATTGCGCGATTGGTAGATGCCGGTGGTCGTTCGATTCTTTAGAAAGTATTTGTTCGACACTTTCACTGTCGTCGTAAAAGAGAAATGACTCGACGATTCTCTTCTCTTTTTTCTTTCGCTACAACGACGATCACGATTTGTTAAATTAAGCGTTGTATTACGTCGCTTTTTTGCAATTAAAGATGATATTAAAAGAAGATCATCGGAAACAAAAAATCGATATTTTGATATTATGTATGAAAATAAACAAGAATGTATTTCATGAAGAAAAGTGTCCTTCGCATTAATTAAAACGGTTGTAGTGGGTTCTTGTTACGATAATTATTTCCTTTTTATGTAAAATATCCTTTCAATTGTAAATGAATCGTCTGATTATTCTGCTTTTGCAATGTAATAACGTTAGGATGTCACGTTCCGAAAAGTATTTCCATTGATACGAATATGCAACTTTCTCGAAGAACTGTTGTTGAGTAAGAAAACGCCTAAAACTTTCACCAAATTCACCGATGTTAACTTCTTCCTTTTTTCTCTTTTTTTTTTTTTTTCTTCATTTTTATTCGCGAATTTCAATCTCATTTTTCTCTTGTATGTCATTCCGATGGAATAACTTAATACTTCTTTAATTTTTTTCAATATCATATCACCAAGTATTTTCTATTAAAAGTTATAAAATTTTATTGATTATATACGTATATATTTACAGATCTCACAAATCGAAAAAGAATTGAAGAAAGTAATAAAGCTTCATTATTTTATTTCGTTACGAGACAGTAAAAAAAAATAAAAATAAAAACAATGAGATCTCCAATGCTTGTAAGTAAGAATAAGTCAGGAAACAGATAATTAGTATGTTAGACAAGATGAATTAGATAGTTATTCATCCAGTTTCTCCGTTTGTTTCGAACAATTTCTTATCTTAAATTACCTGATAAGGTTTAAGCATTCGACGTAATTCTCCGGATTCGTTGAGCCGTTCAACGGTGTCAGCATCCTGAAAAGAATAAAAAGAAAACAAATATGAGGAAGAAAATAAAAAATGCTGAGATTAGATTAAATGACAGTAAAAGTGTTGAATAATCCGTAAAATAAAAGTAAATATCAGAAAGTTAGGTACATGCAACAGCAATTAATTTGCCATCCCATCGAAATTGTAGTTTTATCAAAGAAAAAAAATATTTCTGCGAAAATGTAATAATCGACGAAGAAGATAATCATTTATTAAGTTGTTTTCGCGAAAGCTATAAGCTTACATTTAATTATCTCAAGCTTGTTTCATCAGTAACAGCAGAGTATTATTTCAAGAAAATCAAATCGCATAGAGGAACACTGGAATGTAAGAACGGAAGAATTTCTCCTTGATAAAACGTCATTACAAAGAGAACGATTTTAATGCGAATCGTGAATGAAAGAAACATTTTGTTTACCGTACCATACGAAAGTCTCGCTTAATTCTTTTCGATTCGTTCAACTCAATCTGGTTGTTCGTACCACTGATTCTATACAAATGATTTATTTTTGATTGTTCAAAGAAGTGTCTTAAAGGACGAAAACTATCATCTACGTTTCTCCGTCGTAATGTAAATAATTGTGTGACGTTGTAAGATAGGAATGTTGGCCGGATTTAATACATACATATTTATGCATGTATATGTGTGTATAAACAACGTTTACACCGGGACAACAGATCGAGTCAATACAGGCGCAAACGAATAAACCCTCTCCCCCCCTCTCTCTATCTCTCTCTCTCTCTATCACTCTTTCTATTTAACTATCTTTCTCTTCCTCTCTTCTTCTCCTTTCCGCAATGGCCTTGGATCGAATAGCTTGTGACATTTCACTTACTCGTATATCTACTCTCCCGACAACTCTCGCGATTGGCCGCATCGAGAGTACCGATACACGAATGAACGTCCAAGAGAGACAAAACTAGTTCTCCTTCTCTTTCTATTTCTCTCTGTTACTCTTTGTCTTATTCTTGTCTACGAAGAGGAGATCGAACCTTACTATTACCGTTTCTAGTTTTGTTTTGCTTATTCCTTCGAATCCAATCCGAGTCGTATCTGGACCGAAGCAGACATTGAGACTGTCTATGAATACTTTACGAAGACCAAGTAAACTGGCTGACTGATGACTGGTTTATCTTCTTATGTACACACATAGTAAACGTGATCCTATTTAAACTCTTTGACTAATAATTGTGAATCTCTTTTTTAGAATTGAATACTTGGAGAAAACTTGCTACTATAAGGTAAAGGGTTAAAAGTTAATATTAGACTAGTACTACTTTTAATTTTTTTATTTATATTGTTTTATTTTATGACACTATTAAGATATATCTTTTTTCGTTTTTTAACATGCATACATATTTAATTTTTTTTTTTGCGTGTTTTACATGTTGCATGCTTCGAATTATAATTATTGATTTATGATGTAAATAAATTCCAATAGGACAAGATCACGTATAACTTGTAATACTATACTTTTAACTTTTGATATGAATTATATGGCAAACTACATCGTGTACGTATGTGTGAGTAAAATATACTCTCCGAAAAATTTTAACGTCCCTTATATTGAACATACCCTTCCTAATCTTCTTGTTGTCACCTCGACATCCTAAATTTTTCAAACCTTATTTATCTATTCCTTTCCCCTTGTGCTTTAATCTTGCTCTCCCTTGTATCTACTGTTAGAGGAATTTTGCGAGATCATTGACACCAAACAGTAGACTCGCCATTTATTAAATATTCCCTGTTTTCCTTTTTAATCTTACTTTTTCTATACTTTTTTCCATTTTAGATTATCCTTCGTTTTACCTCCGACATTTCGAATAAAAGTTCTGAAAGCCTTTAAAGTAAATTCCGTAAAAAAACAGAATAGTTGAATTACAACTTCTTTTACGACTCGAAATACGAATTCTTAATTGTTTTTTTACGTTTATCTCTTACAGGTATGCGAATCATTTTAATTTTATGAGTTACCTGAGTCTAACTACATTAACACGATTTAACTATTTTCGTTGTTATATTAACGCAGTCAATTATGAAGATCTTGATTAAAATGTTTCAGCTAATAGAATGAAATGACAGTAACAATCTGTGGTGTTATACCATAATTTATTACCACCAAATTATAATTGAATCAATAACGTCGACAAGTTAAGCAAATCTTCACTTTGTTACATGAATAACTCGTATATATCTATACGAATGAATTAATGCTGAAACATAGCCCGCATGATCATGCTTGAACAATTGTTAGAACTCTTCATTCGTCTCAAATAAAAATCTACAATAGAGATTTTTGTTTTTTCGATGGAGTGAATAGTTTTATAATTTAATTATGAATGGCGACGAATAAATGAAAAAGAGAAGATAATTTTAATATTTAAATACGATTTCTATGATATTTGTATCTTTTACATCAGATTATTTTAATCAGATTAATTCAGTTAGTAATTTCCTAGAGTAAATGTAAGAATCTTTTTATCTAATTTTGGTAAATAATTTTTATACCAGTCAAATTATCGCTAAAATCGAACAAAGTTTTTCTTCAGCTTTCACACTTGAACAATTTTAGAAATGGTATTCTAGCTTTAGCGAGAATGGATTACAATTAGCTTTAAGTGCACAGAACGTTCTGCTTTTCGAAGAACACAGAAAAGCTTAGAAAAGTTAGATATTAAACCTCGAGTGTGTTAAGGGAGACATGTTCCCGGCTCCCGTTGGAAGAACCTACCTGCGAATTCTTATACATTCGTTTAGCGTGACGCTGCTTTCTAAAAAATTAACGTGGAGAAAATATTGGCCGTCGGGATTTAATCAAAATTTATGCCACGATTTCCGCCGGATTATAAATGATTTGTTAATAGTAAAGAATCGTGTAATAGGATCTTTTCAGCAGTGTTTTCTTTAATAAATTACAATTTCTTTACCCTGATAATGATAATTCAACGAATTAAATCATGAAATATTGTTGTCAAAATATTATCACTTACTCTTTTTCTCTATTACTTTATAGGAATATAAGATTATCGAGACATTATATAAAATTAAAATTAATTATTAGCATTTACACATTAATATTTAAAATCTTTAAAAAAGATATCAATAACAGCGCATTCGTTTTTCGTTTACTATTTTCTTCAGCAATACAAGGATAACAAATGAAAGAGTTGACGATAAATTACTTCAAACGAATATGACACCAAGATCGGGTATTCTTTAATCTTTTTAAAACAGCTGGAGATTAGGTTGCAAAAGCGACGACGAGTTGTACGCGGCCAATATGGTACGTTCAAAACCACCCAACAAACTATAAAACTTTCATCGTGCAGAGATGCACATTTTAAGTTGAAAGTGTTAGCGATGTTTCCTAAACATTTGTCATGCTACTTTAAGACTCTGTTTACTTTTACTTCTGAATGATCACCGCAAAAAATTATTGACTGAACGGTAAAAAAAGATTGATGGAAAATTCTACGAAAGTTCGTCGAAGGAAAGTTGATCTCGAACCGGTTTTTCGTTAAAAACGATTTAATCCGCAGTTTCGATCAATAATTCAGGCAAAATTAAAATTCAATTTGCGTAGAGTTTTAAAACTGTATTTCCAAACGAGTTTCAATTATTTTCAACATATTCCATGCGGTTAATTACTTAACAACGTGTATCTCATGTTTTTACTGCTTCGATAACATTGAAGTTTGAAAAAGATTAAAGTTGGAAAAAGATTGAAGTAGCCAATACTGTTCTCTTGTATTAGATTTCGTCCTCGATCTCACTTTAAACTGGCATCGATCACGATGGTGAGTATAGTATGGCACAGTGTACGAGTAGTCGCTTATCTTTGACATTTCACGTTGGTCTTTTTTTCTCTTTCTTTCTTTTTCGACTTTCACGACGACGAATATTCACGATTGCTTAACACAGGATTGGCCTTGCCTTTTGCGCGAGTCTTCAGCTCGCTCATTGAAAATTTATTTGAAACTGGGGACATTGTGTAAGGATTATCAAAAGTATTTCACGAATAGAAAATACAAATATTAATTAAGAGAACTGACTGAATCTTGAATTTCAATATTACGTCTCTCTTGTCAAAGAAGAAAATAATGAGATTTGTTTTTCTCTTAGTCATTGTTTTTCGACTTAAAAAAATAGAATCTTACGTAATTCTTTCGATAGTTAGCAAACGTATAAAGGGCTTATTTATCGCATTTATGAATATATTGAAAGTTGACGTTATTGAAAATATCGTTTTGTTAGTCGTGAAAATTGTCAATATTTGATGATAAAAGAGAAAAGAAAAAGTATTTTCTTTTTCTAAGAAATTTAATAGCCCATAGTCATCACTTTCCTTCAACAAAATGTGTTTTAGTTGTCTTTAAGTTATTCGATTTCTCGAAATAATCAGATCCGTTAATAATATACGAGATCTTGAAAGGTAAGAAGCGACATGAAAACCGTAAAGAATGTCGAATGCAGATCCGACAAACGATCACTGACACACACTCGATTCACGTCATTATCCAGAAGTACTTATATTGAATGCGGAGAACACATAATCAATCGAAACCAATCGGATTTCTTATCATTTTATATTGAAATTACGATCACGTTGAATGTTTAAGCTTGATTCAACTAAATCAATCGATTCTTTTTCTCGTTCGACTTGTTTCGGTAGAATTAAATTGTAAATGTTGATTAATCTGTAATGAAACATTCCTTATTGTCTTATATACATATTATCAAAAGATTGTAACAATTTTATTCGATTTTTATTAAGTAGTTCGAAGTTGGTTAAACGATAAGTTTTATTGGTAAAATGATACGCATTAAAATAATGAGCGTTACGATCAAAATAGTCGATGACCGAGGAAAAAATCTTAAGATGAGATTAGAATACGATATGTGTAATGTGTTGATGTCATAACAAACTCGTAAAGATCTGACGTACGACGACAGTCATTTATACTGAACAAAATAAAATGCGTTAAAAAAAAAAATCGCAAATAGGAGATAAGAAAACCTACACGAACGAAATTAAAAAATTATTGGTAATATGTAATATTTGCTTAAATTAAATTTGTTAATATTATTCATCTAATTATAAGTTACATTCTACGTAATAACACATAAAATGCGAAAAAAAATGGATAATTTTATCAGGATTTGATTCTACTTCTCATTGCATTTGTCATTCGAGACTTCTCACGAGATAAAAAAATACTTTTATTCGCATGACCTTCGCATTCTTTTTTATCCGCTGTTTTAAATTTCATATCTGTTCTTCCTCTCGAAACGAAGGTTATCGAAAAAGTAATGAAACGTAAAGTGAATTAATTAAGCTTGAAAGATATCATCGAAGGAATCGCTGATAGTGAAGGCTAATATTGAAATATGTCTAATATATAAGTGTAGTAAGTAAACTTATCAGATTACATCTTCTTTATCGATCTTTGAATTCTATTTAATAAAATACGTTTGAAGAAACTTCCGTAGGTTTTAATCTAATAATAAGATAAATAAAACTGAGGCAGAATCAATTTTTCGTTGTTTTTTTTTTTATCTATTTTATTATCATTGTGATAATAATACGATTGGATAAACTCATGTGAATAATTTAAAATTCTTTAAGTATATATTATAATTTAAAAAAAACTTACTCCAATGTACTGTCCACCGACGAAAAGCTGTGGCACTTGAATCGCCGTGCAACCTATTCTATCTCTCAACTCTGTTTGCAGTTCAGCACTGCGAAAGAGATCTTTCTCCTCATATTTCACCATGTGCGTGTTCAGAATCTGCTTTACCTTCATGCAATTGTAGAACGTTAGTCTGACGATGCCGGATGAAGTGGTGTAAACCACAACTTTACCCTCTTCCTTTGCCTTGTAAGCCTGAAAATGAAAACAAATGGATGTAATAAACGATCGAGAAAAAAAGAGAAGAAAAACAGAACAAGTCTGAAAATAAATTCAAACACAAATATCGTGAAGTTGGATTACATCCTTGACATGTTTTATCATTTAATTAATAGCATCTCATAACAAATCCATTGGGGACAATAAATTCCATTGACTTAAACATTCCATGTCGTTTAAAATCCAAATTCCACTTGTCATTTTAAGGATTAACATCTGCGATAATTTGATGATCTAGAAAGAGTTCTTTTCATTTTAATTTCAATTTTAATGAACGTAGGAAAAATATGGGAATAAATTAATGAAAGAATGAGGAAAAATAACTGAAATGATTTAAAAATAAAAACTTGTTACTTGAAAAATATAACCTTGTAGATAATCTTATTGTTAAATAATATTCTTTTAAGCATATGTAATAATTCAAATATTTTTTAATTAATCGAATATTTAACTATAATTTAATCAAAATAATTACAATGTCAAATAAAACAGCGAAAATTTCCTATTATATACGTATATCTAAATCACATTTCATTATATGTATAATCCAGGATGTTAATAAATCTCAAATGTATTGTTAAAGGATTGATTATTATGAAATATCGGAAATTGAATGTATTTCGGGTGCAATATTAAAAATGAAAATGTTCGAACAATATTGTTCAATCCATTGCTAAGAATTGTGCGTTTAGGTAAAAAAATAATTAAAAGAGTCATTGCAATGATAATTCTTTGTAAGCTTAGCAAAAGAAAGGAATAAAGTAAAACAGCAAAAAAAATTAATATTTTTTGTTAAAGTAAAAAGTGTTCCTCCTTGTGTATACATAAATTCATAATTGGCTAGAAAAAGGAAAGAAAAAAAGAGATTCATCAAACTTATCTAGTCTATCAATCAACGAGACAATATTCCTGTTACTCTTTTTGTTCGTCTCCAATTTATCATAGCCGTCAAGACAATATTCAATTCAGTGTCAATGTACGAAATTTAATCAACACTCGATTGATCGTAAAACAGATAGGTCTTTATTCTTATTTATTCATCCATCGCATGAACGATATCTTTAAAAAACGTTTTACCTTTTTTCACTTGTTAGTAAGAAACAATTATAAAAAAGTATCTCTCGAGAAATTAGTTATGAAGTATTTAAATAACTTTTTTAAAGCAATTATATCCTACTATTACTTTCAATCGCATTGATTTCGCTGCATAGCATATTGTCTTTACTTTCGAAAATAATGATTTCGTCTAACTACTAACAAGTATAGGCATTATATTTTACGACAATGAATTTTCGTTTCTATTTCTCTCTGCTCTGAATAATCGTAAGAATATCGCGTAATACGAGTCGCTTCGTTAATTTTCGCAATTCTCTTTGCGTCTTCATGACTCCGTGAAACACGAGGAAGGTTTCGTGAATATTCGCTCTTCGAGCTATGCATTTTTTATGTTATAACTATCATAAGCGGACGACTAACGGTTGTCGCGATAAAATCATAAAACGAGCTAAGTAAGTCTTTTAAAGTGTTCTGACCAAGATCATTAGATTACAGTTATACTATAATGCAATTTTTCTCTACAAAGTTTTGTTTGCGTGCTATAATTTTCATGATCACTTAAATGCGATACAAGAGATGAGTAAATAAATAAAAACGTGTAAGAGAAGCACTCTTTAAAACCTTCGATCTTGTCAAGAATATTAAAGAGATCGTTTGCTCTCTCTCTTCTTAGAATACGATCAATCATAGTTTCCTTTTCTCCTTTAAAATATGATCTTCTCGATAAGGATAAAGTTTACAATAAATGAATAATCAGATTTTTTTTTTTTCAATCAAAATTACGTAAGGGAGTTTGAAAAATTTAAAGTAAATAAAAGTTAGTATCGTCTATTGTCTTCTCCAAAAAGTGATTCAATCTTTTTGTATTCATCGTTAATCGAAGCTTCGTTAAACTCATACTACCATTTTTTTCAGTAATCATAAACGCTCGAATACCTTTTTACAGTTCGTCGATTCTATCGAACTTGCTTACACATTTCTAGTCGTGCTCAACATTGCATTGGCTTGACCTTTGCTTTGTTTTAAATCATACATATATTTAAAATAGCGCATTTATTTTCTACATATGACAAAACTTAATTACTTTTTTTTTTAATATTTGACAAAAAATTAACATCTTGTCGCACGATATGCAACAAGAAATATGATTTAAGCATCAAAAAATTATAATCATTTTTTATTCGTTATATACAAATTATTGATGTAGAAAAAACATTTACATATGTATATATAATAATTTAAATAAAATAATAATGAATATTTGTTATCGTTGTTAATTGTTTAGATGATACAACTATATACATGCAAATTTAAATCGTTATAACAAAAAAATGATTAATTGTAGTAGCATTAAATGTAAATAAAGAGGTCGACATAATGAAAAATGTATTTTTTTCTTACGTTTAATTCTTTGCTATGAGCTAACAACCAGGTTATTCATTTTCTACATAAATACTTTCTATTTCGTTCGTAACGTTATCCACGAGAGAGAAATAATAAAAGATATATTAAAAAGGATGCGAAGAGAATATGATTTTATTTAAAATTACTTTCACTGCATAAAAGGATGTAATAAGTGGCAATACATAACAGGTGCTATGATCGTTTATACAGATTATAATTTGCATAGCTATGTGCCCTGTTTCTAAGCTGTCCCATATTGTAATTTATAAATATGCATCTTAGTTTATTTGCATTTCAAGTTTAATGTAGGGAAGAATATTGAATAATCAAATAAATAGAGTCATCGGAAGATTTCAAGCGAAAGATAGATGTTTGAATCTAAAAAGGATGAAAAAAATTCTAAAATAGGGTTTGGAATTTTCTTCTGCATTGGGTTTATCGTATTCGAACAGATCGAAAAGCAAATGCACGTTATCCGATAAAAAATCTCATTTCTGCAGAACGTAGCGGGACTTCCAATTTGTAGTTACGTGCACCAGCTGGTTACAGAGCAAGAATACTGCTTAGAAATCGTTTGATACTCAGTCATCATGGATTCCTAGTTTCGTCGAGAAACGTATAATGAGTTTATAAATACAGATGTCTATCTCTATCCAGATCACTTCTTATATATATATTATGTCAAATATTCGTAATCGTTGTGATGATCCAACAATCTTAAAATAAATTCAAATAATAAACGTTACATCGTTACATAAATGAACAAATTCTGAAATGAAGAATTTCAATCAACAAAGTTTCCGATGAAGTATCAATTTCTGATTTTCTTTTTATAAATTGTCATATGACCGGTCGAGTTTTTATAAATATGCTATTTCATAAATAGAAACGTATAGAAATCGTTGGCTAGAAACGTGTATATACTGTCTCGGATTAAATCTATGGATTAAAAAAATTCAGAAAATTATAGAAATGAAATTATTAAACATTTTTCGCATGTAATTCGGCCTTTGCTACCCAATCACACATTTCACTGTATACCCTTTTCGTTTTAATAAAATGACACTTAAAGCTGTGATAAAAATAAAAAAGTATAATTTTCTCGAGTTATTAAGTTTGTCACAATTGAAATTAATTTCCCAACGATAGAGCAAATGTTTTCAATTAATTGAGATAGCTTTCAATGTTGTTCCATATTTTGCATCATTAATTTTAAATGTATACACGCTGATCGATTTTAGATTTCTCCAAGTTTACGCTCCGTAACATGAATTACGACACTTTTAAACAAGAAGAATTTACAATGTTCTACTCGTGCTTATCTCAAATATTAAATTATAGATAATGTTTTATATATATAAAATGAAAGGAGTGAAATGACCAATGATCTTTTCGAGATAATCGCATACGATTTCCTAGCTCATCCGAATCGTGATTCGCGACGATTAATTACACGAGAGTGACTCCAGCTGTGTAACATAAACAAATGGTGGAAAGGGTGGGAGGGGGCGGGAGGGAGTAGAACGATTTCTCCGTAACTGGGATAATGTTACAGGAGATCGGGTCGCCCACTGACCGGATTTTATTGTTACCTTGGAGCACGTGCTCCTAGAAAAAAGAACAAGATATAATGTATAAAAAGAATAAAATGAAATGTCAGGTATGCCAACTAACGAACAGAGAATCAAGAGAGATCTCCCACGGTCATACGCGGTCTCTTTTGTGATTAGTCTTCAAATATCTTTTCTAATTAGTTTTCCACATCACAGTTTTCTTTCTATGAACTTCTTTAACGACATTAAACACTTTGATATAGTCTGTGTTTTTAACTTGCGATGTTACCATTTATTAATTATACAAGATGTTTTTAAAGTGTAGATATATAGACGAAAATACGTATTTTCAAGAAATTCTCTCTTCTTTCAATAAAGTCATATTTAATTTGTGGTAGAAAAAAAAGCACAGTTAATGAGATTTCGTATGTTTTTAGGCATTAATGACACCGTGTATTATAGATTCGTCCAATGAAGATGTTTCCTAAAAGAATTTCGTTTAAAAGATGATTGACTAATATTTAAAAATAATTTCAAATGGCCAATGTTTCTGATTCAAATACATCGGACGTAATTTTACGACCAAGTTGAAAACTATTGCGATAAGATACGCACGAGCGAGTTCTTTACCGAGAAACCTGAAATCAATACGTTCTAAACAAAAAGAAAAATAAAAAGAAAGAGAATAGAAAGAGTCTCAACAGCACTAGATGATTAGCAGGAGAGCGTAGATACGGTAGCTGTTAGTACATTTCGTTTAACGAGAAAGAGAAAGGAAGAGAGGAAGATAGAAAGAAAGACAAAAAAAAAAGAGGACGATGAGAAGGAAAGAGGGAAAGAGAAGAGGAAGCGAGGGAGTTCTAGTTGTAATAGGACTTTGCGGGACGCTCTGTCATTTGCGTAATAACACGGCTTCAAGTACGTATATACGTACGTATGTATATGTCTGTATATGTGTATTAG